TTCTATTTTTTTTTACTGACACTTTCACAGGACATCAAAATAATCACAGCACTAATCATTAAAATTAATCATTTAGAACAATTAGAAAACTAATAGAGGCAGAGATTTACAGGGGGGAAAAATAGGGCCGAATCTTGAGAGAAAAACCACAATGTTGGGTCATGGTTGTGGAAGGAAATTCAATGAAACCCAAGAGTCAGCAAATTCAAAATGGCGGAGGGAGCGTTTGTTGTTTTTACACAACACAATTAGCCTTTGGAACTCACTGCCACAAGATACCATTAAGGCCAAGAACTGAGCAGGGTTCAAAAGAGACTTGGACATTAATATAGATGAGAATACCAAATGTACAGTAATGAGGGCATAAGTCAACCACTAAGTGATGGGGTTTAGGGAGAAACTTTCCCATGCAGAGGAAAACTGTGCATAGCCCTGCGGGGATTCCTCTGAAGCAGCCAGGACCGGCTACTAGAGACAGGATACTGACGAGATGGACCTCGGCTCTGGTCCAGCCCGGCAGTCCCCATGTCCATAGATATCTACTGTACTGAAGGCAACAGTGGTTCTTTGTCTAACTGGCCAAAATCATCCCTTAACTGGAGGGTTTTTCACCTCCATCATATGTGAAGTGGCAGCAGCACTCCATGGAGCCGCAGACATTTTCGGTGCCCGTCAAGGTGAGCGTAACTCACTTGTCAGCTTCCTTGGGCCTCTCCGTCTGGCATAAAGTGGGCAGCACAAGAACTAACCTCCCATTTGGCTTCCCCTCAGACTAGTGAAACCCTCCCTGTTCCGGGGGGTGTCATTAAAACTGATCAGAAGGCTACCAATGAATAGATCTCAAGCCCACATAGTGCCATGGCCTGGGTGTGCAATGAAACATCCCGGGAGCTGATGATGTCTATTTTGCTACAGAGAGTTAAAGTGTTAACTTCCATTTCCGGGTGCCAAGGGACCCTCTCCTTGCAGTGCGGAAGAAGACAAACTAGTAAGTTTCCTTGCTCAGCTAGCAGCCCAGCGGGGGCACTCAGCACCATTTCCACTTCTGCGAGAACATGCAGCCCACTTGTTTCCGAATCTGCTTGGTTTTCATCCCGTAAACAATGGGGTTTAGCATGGGGAGGATGAGCACATAGAGATCGGCCAGCAGGATGTGAATGTGACGGGGGACGTGATGGCCAAAGCGGTGGGTTAGGAGAGTGAAAACTACTGGGGCATAAGTCAAGATGATGATACAGACGTGGGAGCCACAGGTGCTAAAAGCCTTGAGCCGGGCATCTTTTGTGGGGAGCCTGAAGACAGCCCTGAGGATCAGCACGTAAGACACCCCAATAAATACAATGTCTAGTATAATGGTTACAATCAGCAGTGCAAAGCCATACCAGATATTAACGGTTAGATCTGCACAGGCCAGACTGGCCACCCCTATGTGCTCGCAGTATGACTGCGGTAGGACGTTGCTTCCACAGAAGGGCAGTTGTTGGAGCAGAAAGAAAACGGGGACAATTATACAAAAGCTTCTCATCACTATGGCCGTGGCGATTTTCCCAATCTTCGCATTGGTGAGGATAGTCGTGTATCTCAGGGGGTCGCAGATGGCTACGTACCGATCAAACGCCATGGCCAGCAGGATGGCT